GTGTATTATTGCTACTTAGGAGAGGCTCTGTTTGACTAGCAAATACCATTAGAACCAACTATTTATAACTGAACACACTTGAATAAGAAACATGTGGGGAATAAAACTCTTGTTAGTTTATTTGTCCTAACTTAGCTGAAATGTAGCCCTGTAATTATGTACTGGATGTCAGGGACAGAGAAACTAGTGACCGCAAACACACTTCCTCATTCCTTCAGGAGTGGTTCGGATCAGGTATTCAGCTGAAACTGCCAAAATGCATATTTTCTTACCAGTTCACAGGGAGCCATCTCCAAATATTTTTCACTTGGGTTCACACTTCTTTTTCTTTTAGAAGCCTAGAAAAATCCTTTTATTAACCCATGTACCTGGTTAATCACTCCTCCCACCCCCACCCACAAAGAGAAAAATAAAAACACTAAAAGACTATTCTGTTACTGCACAAGAAACTAACTCCCCATCCCTGTTCGAGAACAACAGATATTCTATATCACATAATATTAACACAAAACGTCATTTCTATGATATTTACATTAACCTACTGTTTGACTCTCCATAAGAGTATCTGATACCAGATGCACCGTTGTGCCAGAAATGTTGGAACAAAATGTGGTGGGTAGACAAACCTGTCTTGCTGCATTGCTTCTGGCCTATTAAAAAAGAAATCATTTATTGCACTCTGTTAGTACATTTACAGCAATGAAGTACATTATATCTGGCTAGTGATTATTGTCTGATTGTGAAAGTATCTGTTGAAAAGATTATAATGAGCACAAAGAGAATTCACGCTATCACACAGCATTGTTATCGGCCAATGGGACACAGTACGTAGTTAATATTTTATTTTAGAAAGCTAAGGAAGATTGGGTTTACTGCACTGGACAATAAATTTACGGCAGGTCTTTTGGCATCATGCTTTTCAATAACCACAGTAAGTAGATCTGAGCTTTGAATTCTAGTCCTAGCTCTCTCACTGACTCCTGCTTGGGTCCCTAGCAAGTCACTTTAGCACTAAATTATGCATTCTCCTCCTATGCAAGTAAACTGGATGGGGGGAGAGGGTTCAGAGAGCCATTTTTCATCTTCAGTTTCCTCACTTGTAAAATGGGAATAATGATATTGCCCTCCTTTGTAAAGTGCTGTGGGCTGTACAGATGACAGGCGCTAGGGTAACGTTAGGTACTTTGTTGTAGCACTCCTGCCCAGGGGCAGGCATCATTTGGTTCCTAGCAGTTGGAACGAAAAGCAGTAAGGGATGACCTTATAGAAAAGTTCCATAGGGTTTAAAAGGGATCACACCAATTGGGTTCTACAGAAATTACAGTGCTATGGAAATTCCTCTGAATATCTGTGGAATGGAGAATAAGCTGCTTTATGAATGGCTGTGGCATCATCCCATGGAAGTCTGTAGCAGGGATATAACTGCCATGTCAGAGGTTCCCTTCTTCACAACGTAAGAGCCAGAACACAGCCCTTAAACCCTCTCAGTGACTGTTTTCTCATCTTTAATCATATTTACTTACCCACCTCAAAGAGGTGTTAGGACGATTAACAAGTTGATGTGCAATGAACAGTAGCATCAGTGATATATAACTATTGAGTATCATTAACTTCAAAATTCTGCTGTAAAAATAATTCACTAAGAAACGAGTCTTTAAGTCTTAATAACATACTATCATTTTAACATGTCTGGGTTATAGGCCATCCTAAAATCCAATGGCAGGCTACAGCCCATGCAGGTTACTGGATGTAGCTGATGTCTGGGTCTTTAACAGTAGGGATTTTAACAATCTGGTGTGTTCAGGAGAAGACATATAAACTAATGCAACATGAGAACACTCTGACAAAGTACCTAGAAAAGAAAAGCATTAAGCTTATGTTCGAATGCATTTGAGTTTCACAGTACTAATTAACCATTTACTCATTAGGATTAAATTTATTCACATGGCACAAATCCTTGCAATGGAAATTACATGAGAACCACATTTAAGAACACAGTCTTATTGTCTAGGGGAGTATTGGTCCGACTTCCAAAGATACCCTTGAATTATTTCTGTGGTGAAATATTTCTGTGCATAGTGCCCAAGGATATAGGGTTGAAGGAAGAGACAAGAGTAGGGTTGTAAAGGAAATCACATAACCAGAACTGTACTGGCACATCCTGCATCCATCCCTGACCATAACTTAGATTGTAAGCTCTTTGGGTAATGCCTGTCTTTTTGTACTATATTTGTACAGCACCTAACACAATGGGCTCATGGTCCATGACTAGGGCTTCTAGGTGCCACAATAATACAAGTAATAAATAACAACAACAATAATAATTAATAAACGAACATGTTGGATAACAAGGGGTACACCAAGAAATCCAAAGTAATGCTAGAAATCTAAAGAAAATAAACTAACACTCAAGAGGTTCATGCATATAATAAAATGTCCTGCTCTTGCTTTGGGATGGTGAGGGCTCCTTTTCATTCACAGCTGCCTGAGTTAATCATTAAGACCCTTACACTGTAATCAGGTCTGCATGGGGCGGGTGGGGGGACCCTTACACTCATGTGGATCCAATTGCAGGATCAGGGCTTAAAATACTGGCATTTTCCAGACTGCTAGACAAATGAATGCTTATGAATACATATAAAATTGGAGTGGGAGGTGGAAAGTTTGGATCTAGATCCGAATATTCCCAAAGTCAATGTTTTGGATTTGGTTTGGACCATCTATAAAATAATATATACATATTTACCAGTTTATAGTTTAAACTCTATAAATCCAGATTCTCATGTACTGTAAGGTCCCTTTACACCACTCTGCTGGTGTAAATGGGCCTTCAAGTGGGAGTGAATTATACCAATGTTAAGGCCCCTTTACACAGGGCAATGTAAAGGGGCCTTCGTGTAAATAAGAATCAGGCCCTGAAGTCTCCAAAAGGTTAGTAAGTAGTGCATCACTATCACTGAAAACAGAGTGTACTATTAACCAATGCTTTGTCCTTTAGCAGTTAACTTTGAAATTTGCAGCAGTGTTATTTCTTCTGCCATGGTACCCTGTGGAGTTGTTCACCACTACCAACCATAAATTAAATGACAACGGCAGGCTTTGTTCTCCACCAAACAAAAATAGTGTGTGTGTGTGTGTGTGTGTGTGTGTCATGGGTGACCAGATAGCAAATGTGAAAAATCGGGACGGGGGTGGGGGGCAACAGACGCCTATATGAGAAAAAGCCCCAAATATTGGGACTGTCTCTATAAAATCAGGACATCTGGTTACCCCAGTGTGTGTCTATATATAAATGTGTATATATCTATATAGAAACAACTTTGCAAAATGAACCCATACATTTATTTGGAAAGAATGAAATGAATAAAAGAAAGTCCCAACTCCATCCTCCCATGTCATTAAGAGCCCCTTCCAGTTTCTTGACACCAGTTCAAACACCAAAAGGAAAATACTTGCCAATTTTGTGTGTGTCCTTGTTTTGAAATGAAAACATTCTGAGTTTGCAGAGATGCAAACAGGGGCTTGCAGTTGAGGAAGAAAATCTGCATTTGAAGTTCTGCGTGTCCTGTGTTTGTTTTGTGTGCAGTAAATGTCTGGCAAAATCAATACCATGAACTTACAATATGGTATAACAACTTTCTTCCCCTGGTACTTCCATGTTTGCCCCTGGATATAGTTTGATTTTTGTATATATACGCTGCATCCTCTTTTATTGCTGTGATTCTGACAAAAAAAATGCTGGGTGTTTGCTCCTATACTTATAGTTCCAAGTTCGTTCTGGACACTGTCATTACAATAATACCTCTTAATGATCAAAAGTGGAATGGGCAGTCATTCTGTCCAGCTGTGACAATTGCCATGTTTGCTAATTGTTTCAAGCTTCAGAGAAGCAGATTTCTGTAGATCTCAGAGGTTTCAGTTCCCAAGAGTTGAAGCATTGATATCTTTTCTCCATGGCCAAAAGGAATACATAAAATCAAGTTATTTCCAAGGGAAGCTAAGTATAAGGGGAGCATTTTTATTCTATGACCCTCATCCCATCCCCAATATCGTTTTGTGTTTTAGGTTTGCCCAAATTCAAAAAAATTCACAGTAAAATGTGATTGGAGCCGCATGGCTTCCTGCACCTTCTTCCTCTCACAACTTGTTTTAGGATTGTTAAAAGTTTTACAAAACTTTTGATGAGATTCATGTACTCTCCAGATTTGTTGTAGAAATGTAATTATTATAATTTACTATGAAATTTTCATACAACTCTGTTAATAAGTTTCTCATGATGTAGTTAAAAGGTGCAGTATTCTCTCTGATATCTGTGGGCCAAATTCTGCTCACATTTACCCTAGTGTAAACCCAGAGTAAATTGATTCATTTCCATGAGGTTACTATGGGTTTAGTTTACACAGACTTTGGCTATATATCTAGTTAGATATCTTCTCTGAGGGGAAAAATATGACAACAAATCATATTGTCTAGATTTAGACAAAAAGATACTAATGGCATCCGTATCAAGGAGATTATTTCTCCTCTAACCAAAGTGTTTAATGTTATAAAAGTTCCTCTTAGGTCCTGATTCAGCAAAGTAGTTAAACATGTGTGTAACTTTAAGCATGTGAATAATCCTGTTAACTTGAAGTCCTTTGTTCTGTCAAGACCTACAAAGTCCACAGACTTCTTGTATGTTCCTCATTATCCTCCTGTGTTCGCTCATCTACAGTATACATAGAGGACTTTGGACTTTATTAATGCAAGGACCTTCCATTGATATCTTGACCCACACGCATACAGCTGCTGTAGACTTGGGAGCATACACCATGCCATTCATAAGGAGGCTTTAACCCAAATTGTTATTGCACAAGTTTTTAAGTGTCATATTGTTTAAAAGAGATACGTTAACCAAAACAAAAGAAGAGAGGGGTTAGAAGGGGGGAGAGTTAAGTTTTAATAGAAATGCGTTTCACGTTTTGTTTTTTGTTTGCTATACAACATTAACGTAGTAAACAAATTAAACTTTGTTCTTAAAATTCTTTAATAACATACAGTATTCTGAGCTCTGTCATTGCAAATTACTGTAAACCATGTTGTGTCACTGGGAGCATTCAAACCTCCTATTGTCACAGCTATTTGACATTGAACTACTTTTTTTTCCAGGAAAAGTTATTCATAAGCTATTTGCTTTTATGAACGCCTTTGTTAATAGGTTTGATGTCATTTTGTGTGTTTTAATTCAGTATGGGCAATGGCGCTTTCTGACCAAAACACACTTAAACTGTTTTTTATTCTGTACATAGAGCAAAGTCCATGCATTGTTGTGGTCAGCCCCTGCTTTGTGCTATGTACCTTTCTGAACACCCCACCCCAAATGAGCAAAACTTTTATAGGATGATCTGACACATTATATTCTGGAAGTCAAATCCACAGTAGAAACATCAACATGAAGAATAGCTGACGTAGCTATTTAAAATAGGGGGTGGGTGAGAAAGTGTCATTTTGGTCCACTTTTTGGGGTGGTTGGTGTTATAATATATAATTTTTTTTACTCAGTGTAGTTCACAATAATTTAAAATACTCTATAGACATTTAAACGATATACAATAATATAACTTAATTGGATTCCTCAATTGTACTTAACAAATACTATTCTAATATATTTACAGTATGTAGTACCATATATGACTGTGCATTACTGTGCCTGGGAGCTTTATTTGCTTCTTGTCAGGAATGAGCTGAAAGTACAGTATATAATTATTGTTTAACAACAATACCCATGAATCAAAAGGGACGTTAAATTGTATAGCTTGGTTCTGGCATAACTGGGGGCAGCCACTTCAATGGAGTTGTGCTCATTTATTCAAGAGCTGGATTTAGACCATGGGCTGGGATTTTCATAAGTGATTTTGGGTGCCTCAATTTCTAGGTGCTCCGTTGGAGACTCTTTAAAGGGGCCTGATTTTCAGACGATGGGTGCTCAACACTTGAAAGTCACGTCCCTTTCAGGGTCTCAAGTCAGTACTCAAAATCGCTGGTCACTTTTGAAAATGGAGGCCCAAAAGTTTAGGAATAATTTCTAGATGACTCTTTGAAAAACAAAACTGAATGTCCAGATTACAGTAACTAGACAATATTTAATCCATGTTTCCTGCCAGCCAGATAGTGGCACTTGCTACAAATTACACTTGCTGTGTGTTTATGGGAGCGGTTTTATTGCAGCTGGGCATATCTGGCTCTTGTGGTTAAATTCACTCTGATTTACAATACTAATCTGAATAGAGATTTAAAAAAATTATTCCTTGTGGGGAAAAGGGAGTGTGAGTTGGAGTTGAACAGAGGTATAAAGATTCAACTTCTTTCTTAACATTCCAAATATTTACCGGGGGCTGGGAGTAACATACTGTTGCCAACTTTAGAATAATGATGACATTTAAAAAGTAACCCAGACTAACCCATCAGCAATTTATTAGCTTTGTGTGGTACGCTAATGAAGCCATCATGAGTCAGAGATTGTAGCAACATGGAGTTCAGCTACTGTATTTTATTAATTTCCTAGTTTAGGGTGAGCATAAGCTCTTTCACAATATTAGTAATGGGCAAGTTTGTGCTGGGAATTATTAGGATGTTGTAACTCTTGCAAAGAAAGTGTAATTGCTTGAAAGATCCTGCTATGGCATTTCTCTTCAAAGCAAAACCTTTAATACCTGTTGAAGCATGTCTTTGTGCCTTAAAACTACCCATGCCAAGATGAAAATAGGTGCTCCCTGCCTCACCTCTGAATCTTAATGCTAGTTCTTATCTGGGGATGGGCAGGAAACCACTGTATCAAGCATTTGTAACCACAGTTTTGCATGATCTTATTGCTCAATTCTGATCATTGCTTAAGGCCTACAGTAATTGAACTCTCTAGTAGTGGAGTGACAATAGATCAGTAGCATTGAAGAACTTAGGGAGAACCAAATACAAAAATCATAAAGTCAGAGTTCCAATAAGTTTACATTTAGTACAGAATTAAGACATAGCTACCCGTTAGTGCTTAGAATTTTTTGATACTATTAAAAACATAAATAATATTTTTTAATGTTCATTCATAGAGTTCCAGTGTCACTGGCAGCTGACGTAATTTTGCGAATTTTATTTTTCAAACTGATAGTGGAGTTTTTCCATTTTAATATTTTTTGCCTCACTATCAGTCTTAGTTTTTGCTATACCTGCTTTTTTAGAATTAATATTTTTGCAGCAATATTGCTGGCTTTTTCAGTGGAAGTTTCATTGTCTTAAAAAAAAGTCTTATTTGCACAGGGTTTTATTTTTTTTGTAAAATATGAAAAAAGTGTTTTTTCTTTAACCCTCCTGGGATCTGTAATTCAGTCAGCTTCTCTGATATGTATAACTTAAAAATCTAATAGGAAAACTCTACAACACCCAAATTGCAGTAAAAAACAAACAAAAGAAAAAGTTGCATGTGTTTGTCAACATCACCTTAATCTTGTTGCCCTTATTTCCATTGCAGTCACAACGGCCAGCCAGCCCAAAATGCATCATCCTTAGAAGTATAAGTGGTGGGGAGAGATTTCTTTTCCCAAAGAAACGTAGATGTGCAAAATGATGCTGTAGTTGTCTGTCATACTCCACTTTCTTCACTTGTGGTGATTTGTTCTGTTTATTTAATCATAGGCCACTATTTGCAGGTGAACACCTCCGTCCGCTCACTGCACGTGTTGCACTTCACAAAGCAGCACCAGTGGAATTTGCAATTACACTGCCATACTTTCGTGTACTGGTGTGTGTTGTAACCCCTTCCACAGCACATCATGTCACACCCGTCTGCATTAGGAGATGTGCGGTTACAGAGTCGCCCCTGGGTACCAACGCTCCCTGTGGAAGCATCTTCCTCACAGTAGTTGGGCGACTTTTCGATATACACCAGATCTGTTTCCATTGGTTTCTGATAACTCCTGATCTGCTTGATCTTCAGGAAGGTTGGCTGTCGTAGCCGACTGGCCCGTACCACCTCCACTTGTACTGCAGCATTATACTTTTCTTTCAAAATATATCCAATCTCTCTGAATTTAGGAAGTGTGGTCCAGCAGGTCTTAGTTGTACAGGAACCTGAAACACCATGACACTTGCATTCCAATTTCATTCTCTCTTCAAGAACCTGTATGTGTATACATACATATTATTATTGGAGAAAAAAAATATACTAAAATTTGCCTAAATCATTGTTTATAGTTAATATTTATTAAAATCGGTTGAAATTTTGTATATGCCTTTTTAATAAATATTCTTTTGTTTGCCACAAAAACTTGTTTTTCAAAAGATTTTGTGACATTTATTATAAGAAATTTTATCAGAAAAAATGTTTTTTTCTGCTTTCAAATAGTTTTGAAATTAATTTTTTAAATTTTAAAATCAATATGAGATTTTTGGGGGGGGGAGGAGGAGAAACGAGGAGGAAACCTACCATGTGGCAATACTGACCAAAAAATTCATTTTTGAAATCTTATTTTGAAAATGGAAAATCAAAAAAACAAAATTTATCACTAATTTTTTTTCTTTTATTAAATGTTGATTGCATTTTTTTTCAAAAAGGTTAAACAAAATTGGATTTTTTAAATATTTGGATCAGCTCTAATATTCATTGAATAATTTATGTGTAGTTGCCATTGCATCTCTGCTCATTACATACTTAAAACATCAGCCTATATTAGATATCCACCTACTGACCAGCCAAACCCCTAGAACATCACCCTCAATTGATCTAGCCTGAGACCAGGCAATGGCTGGCCATAAACATGGTTCTTGCACCAGATCCACAAAGGGTCCTGTGAAGCTAAGAGTCAAACACAAAGATAAACAGGAACGTTATTTTTATTATCAGTTAATATTTATGTTGCATTAGTGCCTAAAGGTTCCAATCCAGGATTGTGGCCCCATGTGCTTGGAAACCTATCCAGGGCTCAATTCTGGCTTTCCCACAAGCCCCAAGCAGAAGGCCGCATGTTCTTGTGCCATCCCTGGAGAAACTCAAAGGCATATTGTGATTGTCGGACACAGTTGCCTCCTAGGGTATACACTTTTCTGCAGTCCAAGTACCTGTGCCTCGCATGTATGTGGCACAAGATATTTCCCTCAGTGCACCAGCAGAGCTACACTACTCAGCTCTTTTGCGGGGGTGGGGGGAGGATGGAGAGAGCAGATGTGGAGCTGTTCCCCACGTCTGGTACAAGGTTGCGGGGGAGACAACATAGCAGCCCATAGAGGCCTTTATGCTCCCAACAATTCTACCCACATATGCCCCTTGAATCCCTGGTGCAAACCCAGCCACAATCTGGCCCACAGTCATCATCAACTTTTCATGAAAATCCAGACCTAATAATAAAATAAACCAATCTTTCTCCCTTGTATGTATGCAGCAAGATGATGGACAAGAAATATGAGCTCCCAAGCTCCACTGAAGCACTAGTGCAACCTATCTCCTTCAGTGGTTTCACAGCAGATCCCAGACCATGACTGAAATGGGCAGAGGACAAAAGGGCCGAAATCTGAGTACAATAGCATAATGAAGCAGAGGGGAAGCAAAAAGTGCTTACTGCTTAAGAATAAAGGCCTTAAAATAAATGCAGTAGAACTTTGGTTAGCCCTGCAAATAGAGGGCACTCTCCTGAGTTGTTTGAGTTTCACTTAAATTGTACGTTTTCTTTTTCCAAATTTCTGGGGTTTCATTATTAAAGAGAATATCTAGCTTTGCTTCTCTTCTGCCAACATATCGTAGCAAGTACAAGCGGGCTAAGTATCTGGTTCAAAAATACCTTCGGCTCCTTGAATCCAGCCTTAGGAACCAGGCTCAGCTTGAGTCACTGTCAAGTTAGCCCTTCATTCTTCTGAGGTAGATAAAGCTGATTTCCAAGCAGTTTACTGCGTTAGGCTAGAAGTTCTTCCAGCCCTGGGGGCCAGTTTGCTTTGTGTGGACATTGCATTCTTAGGGCAAGGGTAGGAGTTTTGCTGGTGACCATGGCCAAAACGTCTCTTTTACCCCTGGACTGTTGGACAGTGTGCTCTGCACAGACCTGAGTGCCTGCCCCCCTCTATCCTAGAGGCAGCAGCACTTCATTAGTGCGGGATGTACATGTTTTGTGATGTGTTTGGGGATCTTTCCAAATGAAAAGCGCTATAGAAATATAAAGGGCCTGATTTTTTTCAAAGGCCCTCACTCCTGACTCCAATTTTATTGTATACATTTTGTACTTACAAATAATCGATTATCATTTAGACATATACACATCCATTAAAAAGGAGCACCTAGCACCTGCTGTAAGCACTGGTGACAATTCTTAAATATGAAACCAGATAACACACCACTCCTGCATCCCAGCTTCAACCATTAATCAACATATCCACAGTCATCAGCAATAACCCAGCAGCAAAAATCAAACATGAGCTGTGGACAGAAATGGTACTCCTATTCTAGTCTATATAGATTTTATACCACCCTCACCTTAGGTCACCGTAATATGCGAGTGCCTTCCAGGTATGCATTAAACATCTGTCACCATGATTCATTCTCTCTCTTATTCTCTCCCCAAGGGACAATTATCTGTTTGTTTTGCTTTTAAATGTACATGCTGCTATATTACATGCTATATTTATACTTTCACTCTATGCATCCGAAGAAGTGAGGTTTTTACCCACGAAAGCTTATGCCCAAATAAATCTGTTAGTCTTTAAGGTGCCACCAGACTCCTTGTTGTTTTTGCTATATTAGAGAAAGCAAGGTACACAAAGTGCACCTTGCACTTGGAGCAGAAGGTGGTGAGATTTGTCAGTATGCTTAGTTCCTATGAGTGTTTGTGTCATGGTCTCAGACCTGCACTCAAGAAAATTCTTTCTCTCTCACAGATGAGTTTTACCATTATGGTAGAAAGTTCCATGGTGCCTGAAGAGGGGCGTTGTTGACCCACATCCTCGGTCCAGAGCTTTAGGTGATCTTTTTTGACATGCTGGACTCTGACAACATCATTTATACAGCTAGCTGCCTGATATGCACAGTGGCGCTAACTCTTGCCATTTTATCATTGGTCTTGCAATATTTGGTGTTTTACTTGAGCCCCAGCTTCTGGAGTAATGTTGTTATACAAGAATCTCAACTTTCCTTTAAAAATAGTTTCTAGTCTTTAGGATTGTGGAGAAAACTTGAAAATATAACGCTAAAGGCTTGAAAGCCCAGAAGAGTCCAAAATGTATCAATTCATTATTTTTAAGCAAATCTCATGCTTTTGCAGGAGGAGGTGCTGGCTCATGCTTTTTGAATGGTTGGGGTTTCAACACTGTGTTCAGGCCCAATGATCAGGTAGTTACATTGCTAAATGCTGTAATGTGTGCCCACAGTTATTTGTGGGTGCAAAACTTTGCCCACAAAATTGGAAGCCAGGGAACCTAAGGCCCAACCAAAATAATATTTCTTCCCTTTCCCCAGGTGGTTTGTGTTCAGTATTCATATTCATTAAGAGCCCAATTCTCACCTTTGCACATGCAGAGTAGTACCTTACTGCTTGAGTATCCTCACTGGCTTCCTACTTGCATAGTAAGATACTACCAAACATGAGCAAAGAGGGCAGAATCTGGCCCAGTGTACTCACTGTTGTGACTGAAGAGAAACTGACCTTTCTCTTCCTGTTTTTCCCTCTGATTTGGTTTGTCTCAGCAAAACTTCCATTGTAGTTCTGACCCTGAACCTTAAAGGTACTGATTTACTAAGACTTAACATATCCTGCCAGGTTGGGTACCTGATTAAAGTTTAAAAATCATTAGCTTGCATGACTCTCTCCTTCAAAAATTCCATTTGTCATATGTCAGGGCCTCATATCTAACCTTGAATAGTTTACAGCAAGATCTACTTCCCAAACCAAATTCCCATCACTTGACTTGCTGCCTCAGACTAATATTAGAGCATTCTTTAGATCCACTTTCCATGGGCAGTCCCACTCCAGCCCCAATAGGGTCTTGCCAAGTAAAATTTTCTAACTACTAATGCTATTTTATGACATGAATTGTGAAATATAATGGCAAAGATTTTTATTCTACAGAGTTTGCACCAATATAAATAATATACTAAAATGCAATTGTGAGTGTTGCCCTCCTCAAGTCAGCTAGACAAGCCTTACAGAGAGAATTAGTTTCTGACTGAATAAAATGCAACCCCCTCCTCTCCCCCACAATGCAAAACCAAGCCCCATTTTGTAAATTTCAAATCTAGGCCCAAGTGCATTATATCAGATACAGTTTCTATACCTATTAAAAATCCTATCTGGATAAAATATGAAAAACAATTGTAATATTTTGTGTGTGTTTGTTTTGGCTTGGTCTTCCTGATTTGTGTTTTCTTTGGTGGAAATGCACATTTTTGGACCAGATGTCAAATGTAACAAAACCCATATTACTTTTAACTGCAGTATCAAAGAAATAGAAAACTCAAACAGTTTTTCTGTTAAAATATGCAAGAGATCGACTCTTGCCTTTGGTAATACTCATCCAGAGAGAGAGAGATGGATTCTGATTCCATATACTAGTATATCATCACTTCCCCTGAGACTGGAGAGGGTGGGGCCATTACAGCCTATTGCTTCTGAGGTAGGAATGGGCACTATTTATAACTTTATCTCTGAACAGGTCTGGAGCTAGTAATGCCATCAGATTGCCAATCTCAAGGAGCATCTGTGAGATGACGGTTCACCCAATTAGAGAGAGGTTGTAACACTAGTACAATGATTACTGCTCTATGGTGATAACTTGAGGCCCCTAATGTTTCGTTTGTTAATAGCGGGTCACAGGACCAAAAATAGCATATGTAAGCAGGGTAATGGTCCATGTCATGTCTCATATGATCTGACAACAGCATGAAAAATATGGGTATTTCAGCCTGACGGTTGCTCGTAATGTTCTCCAGTCAGAAGTAGAGCTACCCTGAACCCTCACCTCCCAGCCACACAATACTTATATTTTGTGGTATGAGAGAATATAAAACCCAGTTTACTATCTCTCCCTTATGCCCAACAAGACTTTCTGGTGAAGGCGGTACATTCCTCCCTCCCCTGACCCAAAGTCTCCTGTTTAGTGGGGGAAATAAGAATGGAGTCCAAAAACTATTGCCCATCAAAC